AGGCGACACTTTGAGCCTCCGTGCCGGAGAAAAATCTCAACGTAAAAAAAAAAGGAAAAAAAAAAAACTTAATTCCCGGTATCGCGGTGTCAGGTCTGCTGCCAGTGTCTGTTCCTTCGAGTGTTTCCAGCTGGTCGGGCAGGCCTATCTCTAACCTTGGAGAGGCAGTAGAAGACGAGCAGTTGCTACAGGCCTGACGTGGCTCTATGGATGGCAACACTGCGCACCCAAAGGACGGGAATACTAATAGGGCCCATCAAGTCAGACCCCCGCCCTGAGCTGTGCGCTGTGGGCTGTATGAGCTCCTGAACATGTGAAGTCCAAGCTGATGGCTTCTCTGCCTCCACACAATAAAAAGTACAATAAAATGAATTAAATATTAAAGTGAAGACTACATTTTGCTCAATTCAAACTTTAGGATGTGAATAGCCCACCATAGTTTTAATACACATCAATACACAAAGCCCAGTTTATCAGGACTTGAAATGTGTTTTATAGTACTTTTAAAATTTCTATTACAGACCCAGTGTGACATAGTGTTACTTTATTAGAGTTCACATAAGGTTATTAATGGTCAGCCCAGTCGTTGGAAGAAGATTTTGGCATTTTACATTTCTGCAAACCACAAATGTGGTAAATTGGCGCACCTGCCAAGCTGCAGACAACTATTCGAATCCAACTAACAACAAAAGCAGTTGTTCTTTAGCTTGTCATTGCTGTGTTTTTTCCAGCAGCTTTTCAGCCCCCATACCTGTTTTTTTTAGGGGCCCGTTGCTGTGTTTCCAGCAGAATTCTAGCCTCCAAACTGGGAGGTTTTTTAGGGACCCATAGCAAGTTTCTATTGTTTTTTTAGCCCTGAACATGGAGAGTGTTTAGAAACCGGTTGCTGTGTTACCAGCGGCTTTTTAGCCCCCAAACATGAATGTTTTTTTAGGAACCTCTCCTGTGTTTCCTGCAGATTTCTATCCCTTGAATGTGGATGTTTGTTAGGGACCTGTTGCGTATTTCCAGCACTTTATTCGCCCCCAAACGTGGAGGTCGTTTAGGGGCATGCAACAAGTTTCCATTGTTTTTTTTGGCCCCCAAACATGCAGGGTGTTTAGATACCCATTGCTATGTTTCCTGTGGCTCTTTAGCCCCCAAACGTGAGTGTGTTTTAAGGACCCATTGCTGTGTTACCAGCAGCTTTCCAGCCCCCTAATGTGGGTGTTTTTTAGGAACCTGTCACTGTGTTTCTAGCAGCTTTTTAGCCCCCAAACATGGATGTTTTTAGGAACCTATCACTGTGTTTCTTGCAGATTTCTAGTCCTAAAATGTAAATGTTTGTAAGGGACCCATTTCATGTTTCCAGCACCTTTTTAGCCCCCAAATGCGGAGGTCGTTTAGGGGCACATGGCAAGTTTCCATTGGTTTTTTAGTCCCCAAACGGGCAGTCTTTTAGAAATCCATTGCTGTGTTACCAGCAGCTTTTCAGCCCCCTAATGTGGGTGTTTTTTAGGAACCTGTCACTGTGTTTCTAGCTGCTTTTTAGCCCCCAAACATGGATGTTTTTTAGGAACCTATCGCTGTGTTTCTTGCAGATTTCTAGCCCTAAAACGTGGACGTTTGTCACGGACCCGATGTGTGTTTCCAGCACCTTTTTAGCCCCCAAATATGGAGGTTGTTTAGGGGCACATGGCAAGTTTCCATTGTTTCTTTCAATCCCCAAATGTGCAGTTTTTTAGAAAACCATTGCTGTGTTTTCTGCAGCTTTTCAGCCCCCAAATGTGAGTGTTTTTTTAGGAACCTGTCAGTGTGTTTCTAGCGGTTTTTAGCCCCCAAACACGGGTGTTTTCTAGGAACCTGTCACTGTGTTTCTAGCAGCTTTTTAGCCCTCAAACATGGGTGTTTTATAGGAACCTGTCACTGTGTTTCTAGTGGGGTTTTTTTAGCCCCCAAACATGGAGTGTTTAGAAACCCACTACTGTGTTACTAGCAGTTTTTCAGCCCCCAAATGTGGGTGTTTTTTCGGAACCTGTCACTGTGTTTCTAGCAACTTTTTTGCCCCCAAACATGGATGTTTTTTAGGAACCTGTCACTATGTTTCTTGCAGATCTCTAGCCCTAAAAACGTGGACGTTTGTTAGGGACCTGATGCGTGTTTCCAGCACCTTTTTAGCCCCCAAATGTGGAGGTCGTTTAGGGGCACATGGCAAGTTTCCATTGTGTTTTCAGTCCCCAAATGTGCAGTTTTTTAGAAAACCATTGCTGTGTTTTCTGCAGCTTTTCAGCCCCCAAATGTGAGTGTTTTTTATGAACCTGTCACTGTGTTTCTAGCGGCTTTTTAGCCCCCAAATAAGGATGTTTTATAGGAACCTGTCACTGTGTTTCCTGCTGTATTTGGTCCCCAGATGTCGATGTTTTTTAGGGAACAATTGTTATGTTACCAGTGACTCTTTAGCCCTAAAACATGGGTGGTTTTTTAGCTAAATGGACCTGTTCCTGTGTTTCCTGTGGCTTTTTAGCTTCCATATGTGGATGTTTTTAGGGACCCCTAATGTATATTTTTAGCTCCAAAACAAGGGTGTTTTTTAGGGACCTGTCACTGTTTGTCCAGCTGTGATACTGCCACATAAAGCAGTTGTTCTTAACTGAGATATTGCTGTTTTCCTGGCCGGGGTTGAGCTCCCAGAATTGGGTATTTTAAGCCACAACATCTTCTCCAAACAATAACCAAGTATTTTTTGTGAATGTGTGTGTGGTTGGCAGAAACATATAACACCAACATTTTTCTGGCAATTGGGTTGCAATGTTAGGCGTGTTTCATTGTAATTTTTTGGAGCAGGCCTTTATTATTCTTCTTCATTTCCTTACTAAGGTAATCTTACTTTCAATCCATGTCATGTAAAACATGGTAGGGGACAAACACGTAACCACAAAAGGTATTATGTAAACTGGAAGTAAGCTCCTTTCATGCTCAAACAAATCGAGCATGGTGGCATCAAAGAAAAAAAATACCTACAGTATGAATATTTGAATGTATAATTTATGAATACATGTGCCAGTTTGTTGTCTATGGTTACACAACAAAAACTATTCTCGTTCAACATCCCCATTTTTCCTTTACTATTACAAATGTGTTTGAGTCCATTGGCAGCTTTCAGTGGTGACGATTTGCCATTTCCTGCTTTTCACAAACACGAAGAGGAAAGTATGTGGTAGACACTGTGAATAAATTAGGAGTCCATTTCAGTGTATGGTGAGTGCTCTTTCTAAACCTACATTACTATTTAATTGAGAATGCAGAAGAAGACTTTCAAAATCCATCTATGTACGTGCCACACACCCACAGAGGCACTCACACAAACACAAAGTGACACACATACAGTAATGAGTGACACAACTTTATGTCAGAATATAAGATGCTGTAGTGATCATATGTTTGACTTTGGTTTCAGTTTTTTAGAAGAGATGGCACCCTAACACGTGTCCTAGTTTCTTAACAAAGACAAGCTATATCTTGAATGGCTTCTACTACAAAACTTCTGAATGAATAAACACATTAAAACTTGGCCAGTGGTTAATAAACTTTGATTGCTAATGCCTTCCTGAGTTGCCAACTGGAAGTCTTTGTCCACAGTCTCCCCAAACTCAGCTAGGCTTCGTACCTCTCATCTTGGAAACTCCAGCAAAGGACAAAGTCCAGTCACTATAGAGTAGCAACCATAGTCTGTGCTTTCCAGGGAGTAAGCCTTAAATATGTCCATTTGAGACTGCTTTACTTCCAGCATCAGCCACACTAGCCACTAACCAAAGAGATGACATTTTATGTCCCAGGTTTTGAAACCAGAGGTCATTCTACCGAGACCCTGCAACTGTCCTGTCACCACAAATGACTACTTGACTGTTATTGTTGAGTTATACCAGACTGAAAACAATATGTGCACAGAGCACTATAGGGGTGAGGGAAAAATCCGTAGAGCATAGGAGAGCCCAGTCTCACTTCGAAGCCGTCGAAATCTGGTGCTTGGGCAGTGACTTGTGGTGTCAAGAACCAATGCACAAAGGCTTCCTTTAACGTTGGCATAATACGTGGCCGGTTGCCATTATAGCTTAACTGCACCCAGCGGCATCAGGGGGAAACGCAGCAGGACAAGGATGAAAGTTAAGGCAGGAGGGATGGTGGATGGGCCCAACAAACACTGATCTTCACCCATAAGAGTGGTGTTTGTGTCCTGTAAGAGTCTAAAGGCAAACCCTGTTCTTTTTTCCTAAACCTAACCACATGTTTTTGTTGCCTAAACCCAACCATGTGTTTATAGTTGAAGGAAAAAGAAGTCAATTTGCATTGTTGTACCAACGTAGCATGTTTATTTTGAAAGAGACTGTATATAAATGTTAAATTTCCTGTGAAAACTGAAGTGTATTTTGAAAGAAGACAACGCATGTAACAGGCAGAACTTGACACGGTGTCCCAGAACGTCAATAACCAACACACCCAGGGTACCTTGCACGTCATATGTGGACCTGTAAAGTCTGTGACCAAACGTCGATATGTGACGAGGTCGGAGTGAGAATGTGTTGCATAGGATCATGATATTTTGCATGGCAATAGTTTATTGATAAACAAATGCTAAGAACAGATTTTTTACTATATGAATTATTAATATTGCAAATACAAATTAAATTTTTGTAGCCTGAGATGAACAGACTGAAAACTGTATCTTAGTAGATAAAACAAAAGTTTTTCCTTTGGGGAAATAATTTGCAGCTGAAAATAAGCAACAAATTGTAATTACAATACTCACAATTCTCAGCATAATGCAAAAATGTGACTCACATATCTTGATAATATCATATTGTGGGGCTTCTGGTTAGCTCTATCCCTACTGAGTACACAAAGTGAGTCAGGGCTCATCACATAAATCTTACACTAATGCAAGTATAGAATGAAAGTGAAGCCCTTTGAATCAGCTCAAATAAAAGACTATTTGGCATCCCAACTAAAAAACTTGAACTGTATCAGGAATAAAGTCATTTATTTATCTGTAACACATGATTTCATTACCAAATTGGAAACCACTTAAACTGTAAAAATCAATTTCAAAGCCACATCTACACACCTGTGTGTATGTGTTTCTGTTTGAACTTTATTTACTGTACAGGACAGTGACTTAGTCCAACATGACTCCCTCCAGGCGTGTTAAAGAACAACAAGAACCACAAAGTTTCTTCGCATTGAAAAACAGTTAATTAAAAACATCTCGCAACACATACTGTATGATATAATGCTAGTGCCAATTAAAAATGTTTTCATTCCCAGGATATGGTGTTTGGTGATAAAGTGGAACATAGAGGTTCATAAAACCATAAACAAATAGTTGTAATTAAAGAGCAAATCTTTGGTTTACTAGTGTTGTGAGGATGCATAAATATAATCACCCAAATGCTCACGTGTGTTATTCCTTTGATTTTATTGTGGTCCAATGTTTAGCATTATTATTAGTAAACCATGATTTACATTCAAGTATTATCATGGGAAAACGCAAAACCTGTGGTAGTACTGAAATGTTATGTTCTGGGTTTTGGGTAAAAGTACAAACAAGCACTACAGAAGTCTTCAAAATCTAGAGGTGCTGCTCATTCTTGTGTTTTCCAAAGTAAAAACATAATGGAAATTGTTAAATTGTCCATGAAAAGTCTGAATTTTAAAGTGATTGTAGGAATAAACAAATGTTACAATGTCCCTTTGTAAAGTGTTTATCATGACTGCACATCTCAAAATGAGGAAAATTTGGTGTGTATAAATTTGTAGTACTTAAAGTGCCAGAAAGTACTCAGACTAGGAGTGATCCAGTAAGGTGTGTTTAAGCATCAACAGACCGTATGTAATTATATTGAAAGTAAAGCACCACAGCCTAAGAGATGTTATACATGTATTCACTCCCCTGCGTACAGGAACAGGACATGTTGTGTGACCCACATTACACGTGCAACATGAGGAGACAGAGAACACTGGATTCCCAAACATGCCACTACACAATTTCCCCATTTCAATCATTTATTAATGAGAGACAACAAGCTGGCACACTGTTGTTTTCCCTCTGCTGCGCCGTCCCACTTGCTTGAAATTCACCCATTGTCTTCTCATTAAACCCTACAGCTCAGTTTCTCCCTATATAAACATATATGTACCTGCCTGCCCGCTGCTTCATCTTTAATTCCTTATTCTACCCTCATCCTTCAGTACCTCCAACCTGTCCTCTCTCTTTGTTGCTCCAACATTGTTGCCAGGTCTGTCAAAAAGAAGGGAAGAAGAGGTAGCAGAGGAAGCAGAATATGAAGAAGCCTATAACCCAGTTGACTGAGTAGATGTAGATGATGACCATGTCCATGTCAAAGTGCCAGCCTCGAGAGTCATCCTCAAAGTCCAGAGTGTCCAGACGGTAGCCTCCTCCATGGGGGAACTGACGTCTGGCTATGGGACTGGACTGCCTCTGGAAGCCTGGTTGGGACGACAAAGGAGGCATCTCACCTGGTGATTTTCATTTAAGTGACACTCCACTCAAAATCTAAAAAAAAAATGGCTGTAAAATGTGTCTAAAGTAATTTTTTCCTTACTTGAATTCAGCTTCAGTGGATTTTAATACTGATAAGTTTTCATGGTGAAAAAAAGCATCAAAATGTGAAGCTGTAGCTACTGCTCGAGACATCAAGGTCACGCCCTTGGAAATATTTCTGGGAAATTAGGAGGTTCAGTGACACAAAGAGATGTTTCCATTCTGTCATCACAGAAAAACAGAGTAGTTTTTAAAGGGATGGCTCACCTCAAAATCAAAAATACATGTTTTCCTCATACCTGCAGTGCTATTTATCAATCTCAACAGCAATGTCTCAGAAATCATGCGCTGTACATGCAATCACCGGTTATTCGAGTTAATCTACAGACCTTATTGTGAGCAGTTTTCTCTGTACTGAACTACATCCACCAGCCATACCACTGCACAGAGGGAAGCGTGAATCTACTCATGGATGAGAGGCTCGTGGTCGTAACAGCTTGGATGTAAACATTAATGGCGTCCTCCTTGGCTAAGCTCTAATGTAAGCTAGCTCAGTGGTGCTAGGTGAGCTAGCAGTGGATGCACGCTTCCTTCTGCACAGTGATACGGTTGGTGAATGTAGTCCTGTAGAAAAAAAAAATGGTTCCTACATGAAACTGCTCACAACAAGGTCTGTGGATTATCTTGAATAACCAGGTCATGATTTCTGGACAGAGACATTGCTGTTAAATTTTAAATGTATTTTTATTTTATCTATTTCTATTTTATTTTATTTTATTTCATTTTATTTTGTTATATTTTATTTCATTTTATTTTATTTTATTTTGTTATATTTTATTTCTATTTTATTTTATTTTGTTATATTTTATTTTATTTTATTTTAATTGTATTGTATTTAATTTTATTTATTTATTATCTGTTTAGTTTTTGGTGCTTTGAGTACCTCAAGCTGAGGGCTATCTGGTTCAATTATATTCAAGAGAAGGCAGTCCTCTCTACAGTTGATATCTCCAACACTCTGCAACTCATAGCAAAACAATCTAGATTGATCAATAGTGCTACAGGTAAGAGTAAAAATATGTATTTTAGATTTGGGGGTTAATGGTCCCTTTAATCCTCAACATTGGTGTACAGCTCACTACTGACTTATTCACCCTGTCCCCTAAAAATACACTTAGAAACTACTAATTTGGGTGTTTGGACCAAGAGGAGGTGGCAAGTGTAGTACATTTACTCATGTACCAGACTTACTGTAAGTACATTATTATTTATTTTTGGCGCTTTGAGCACCACAAGCTGAGTGCCATCTAGTTCTATCATATTTAAGAGAAGGCAGACACAGGTTAAGAGGAAAAATGTGTCTTTTGATTTTAGGGTGAACTGTCCCTTAAAGAGTAATTCAGCGTTTTTTTAATACAAGATTTTTTATAGAGTTTAACTGGTGTGTAGTCAAAGTGTCTTCAACGATGTTGAAAAAAAGTATCACTTAACTTCTCCACTTTCCATCCATATGCTCAATTTTATTCCAAACAACCATTATATTTGCCAAAATATGTCTTCATACATTGCATCGATGTAGTGCTACTACTTTCCTTACTCATATTTTACTGAAGGTAATTGCTCCCGTAACAGTAGAGTGTTTAATACTGAAGGAGAGATTTACATTTCTTCAATTAGTGGCACAACATCAGTGGATGGGTTAGAAACTGATTTTGGGGAATAGTGAAGATATACTCCAAGAATTCTGTGTATGATTAAAAAAAATACGTGTGTGCAGGAAAGGCAGCCACTCAAACTTGCATTGTGTATGCTACAAGGCTGGAGCAATGTGTTAAATACGTTTAGGATAAATACGTAGCAGGTATACTTGTGTTACTCTGTCACTTACGAGGAGAAAAGCAGTTGCAAATGTGTCCTACTGCTGCTGGTATTTTGCCAAATCTGATGATCTGACATCAGATAACTTTCATGTATTGGGAATTAAAAACTTGCCTCCAAAGATACGGAAGAGTTTTCTGCAGCTTGGTAGAGGCCACTTTGCACAACTTGCTTTCTGGAAGTTCTGTTTCCGGGAGAGGTATTCCTTTGGGAAGAATGTCCTCGCTGTTTGATTTAGCTCTGTAAGAAAGACAAGGTGACAAACTACAAATGAACATCTCACTCCACATCTTGATTCTCTGGATAGATGATGTTTGATTTATTCAATAGATTAAAAAAAAGCAGCAGATGCAGCATCACCAGACTCCCTCATTTTCTCCTTGTTCTGTTTCCGTGTATGACCTTGGCTTTGGTAATCAACACAAGAATCTAATCTACAATGCTTGTCACCTAATCACTCACAAGGACCCTTAGTGTGTCTGCAGCCCTCATAACCACGGCCACTCTGCCTTTTATGGCCACAGCAGTGTCCCTGCCGCTCACTGTCTCCTACATACATCCAGAAGTAGGCCAAAGTGAATCACAGAGCGTCATTATTTATTCATAGATTTGTCCAAATCTGAATACGTCTCATGTAATCAGCGGCACTGATCACGAGGTTACATAAAATAAGTATGTCATTACACAGCATATGTGCAGAAATATTCATATTACGGCACATACTGTAGCATTGTTGTGTAAAGACATTACATATAAGATTATATTGCAATGCATTCTCCACACATAAGGAATACTACTTCTTATTTCCATCTGAAAGCGCTAATAAAAGTGTTCAGATCATGTTTGAGTTTGTCTTCTCGGCCTGGGTGACTCATCTGGTCAGAGCTGAACTAAAGGTCTAGTCTGCTCCCTATGGGACATCTGCAGCTGGGCCCTCTGAACAATCTGCAGATACAGAATATTATCTGTACAGCAGAAGTAAGAATACACATATAGCTACAAATACAAGTACGCTTTCCCTGTCATGGATCATTTTAGTCCAGACAACATTTTGCTGGCGTATTTCCAGCTGTATTTTTATCCATCTCACATTATTTAATCTAGAATGCTGAGTAGAGTCTTAAGTAGAGGCGATAAGTATTTCAAATCATGTGAATTGTAAGCCAAGTGCTTTCTGCCCATTAGCTCACCCTTCTGGAAGAAGACGTGTGTGATGATTGTTCTGCAGAGGGGGCAGGGGGTGTTGGTGGGGCTGTTCTTCGCCAGCGTCCTCAGACAGGGTTCACAGAAGATGTGGTTGCAGGGGTGACACATGTAAGGGCTGAAGTACACGTCCAAGCACACGGCGCAGATGTAACCTTCTCTGTCACCGGCGCTCATGTCCTCGTCATCCTCACTGCTGCTGCTGGATGGGTTCCCTGTTGAGCTCTGGGTGAGGGGGGGCAGGTAGGGGGAGAAAAGATAGATAGATGATGTAAGATGATTAACATTTATGTGTATATACAGTTACTTTATTAGCATTCGGGACGGACACGGTCAGCAGCAATACTCAGGTAGGCTGTGGTGTTTAAACCATGCTCAGTTGGTACTAAGGGGCACAAAGTGTGCCAAGAAAATATCCCCCACACCATTACACCACCACCAGCAGCCTGAACCGTTGATACAAGGCAGGATGGATCCATGCTTTCATGTTGTTTACGCCAAATTCTGACCCCACCATCTGAATGTCGCAGCAGTAATAGAGACTCATCAGACCAGGCGACGTTTTTCCAGTCATCTATTGTTCAGTTTTGGTGAGCCTGTGTGAATTGTAGCCTCAGTTTCCTGTTGTTAGCTGACAGGAGTGGCACCTGGTGTGGTCTTCTGCTGCTGTAGTCAGTTCAAAGTCACTTAAATCACCTTTCTTCCTCATTCTGATGCTCAGTTTGAACTTCAGCAGGTCGTCTTGACCATTGTGTACATGCCTAACTTCATAAATTTGCTGCCACGTGATTGGCTGATTAGCAATTTGTGTTAATGAGCAGTTCAGGTGTACCTAATAAAGTGGCTGGTGAGTGTACATGCATGTGTTCATCTACAAGCCTTTGTATACAGTATAAAGTCTGGGTATGTGTTGGTTTTTATGTGTTTTGGATTCGATTAAAATCTGAAAGGGCCAAGATAGACTTTTCTGATACTATTTAAAATGAAACCGAACAAAGAACAAATAGAATTTTGGAAGATAATTCATCCCTTTTCTCTCCTTCTGTCCATAAAATCTAAAGTCACAATGGCAAACCCATTTCTGCAGGGTTAAGTCTACATGGAATGAGCTTCAACAGATTACGTATCAAGTAAAAGAGTAAAGGAGAACAATCCAGAAATCTGACCCTCGTATATGAGGTCCTGAGCACATTATCAGGATGTCACTGCACCCACCGACAAAAAAACATATATAAGTGAAAATGTCCTCTTTTGCCGTCCTCTTGAGATTCTGTTTAAAATATTCTCCACTTTAATACACCCTGTTTGATGAGTGTAAATGTCTTTGACAGCCACCTGCACAGCATTATAATATGTGTGAGGACATGAGGGTGTCAGGTGTGAGCTCAGCAGAGTGAAATGTCTACCTGCCTACATTTTCTCACTTCTTACTGTAAAGCATAAACATTGTTCGTTAGAGAGATTTGACCCCGACGCTGGCCCTAATTCCAACTCCATTCACTTCATAGAAAACAGAAAGGTGTTGCATCTCTCCGGCTCGAGTTTTTCCATTAGGCAAAGTGTGACTCACACAATTCTGTAAGATAAAACAGTTTGTTTACGCTGCAGCTAGCCTGTCCTCTGTTTACCTTTTTAATCTAGTTTGAATCCTTTTACTTCATACGGCACAATACATCTGCCGCCCCCACTGCTCTAATCCCTCTCATCTCCTCAGCAGTCAACTTGCCCTCCCTCCCGGGTGCCTCTGCACCTAAATCCACACTCAGCATTTCCAAATTCCAGCTACAAGTCATATGAGAGGAAGTACTAAAACTCATTTTGAGAGCAGTATACGAGGCCCCTCAAGTCCCCCGTCTCCTCCTCAGACCTGTATCAGGCAGACCCAGAGGACTGGAGTCTGAAGCCGCAGTCTTGAAAAAGCCTGGGGGTCGTTTCCAGAGTAATTACCACTCTCTCACCCAGGGGGAGCTCCAGGGACTTCCATGTCGCACCAATCCTGCCTCCCAAGGTGTGTCATTAACACAGAGGAGAGAGCACAGAGCGCACAGCTCCCAAGTAATCATGGCCACTGAGGCTCTCCTGTGGCAACATGCACTGTAACATGACACCTTTGTCTTGGTTACATCGGTAAATGTGTACATAGGTAAATAAATCCCATTCATTATCACAGGTAGGCCAAAATAAATCAAGATATTTTTGTAGACATGCAATAAACCTCTTCTTTTTTTATCACCTTATGGCTTGTTGTGACTGATAGAGCTGCTGCAACTGAAACAAACAAATTTCATATAAACGTAAAGGAAATATAGTTCTTTTAGAAAAGCAATAAAAGTTTCTGAAGAACTACAAACAGCAAATGAAACCACATTTCAGCTTCCGTGCCGCAGCTGGATAAAGTAACAAAACCATCCAGCACTAATTGCCTCTCCATCACGCAGGATGAAACCACTTCCTGTGGGAAACCGGATGATTGTAACATTAGCTCTGAACTTTAGCCTCCGAATAATGTATGCAAAAAGTACAGCCGGATATTGTACTCAGAAATAGTTAAATGAGATTCTATCAGGGGGTGAAAGCAACTTTTTTTCACAAACAAATGACGCATGTGGGCAGTAAAGCTTTATGAAATCTACGAATATGTGAGGACAAGTGAGAAAAAACATTGTCGAGCTGCCCTTGAGAAGTATCCCAAAGCCCCAAGTGTGATTCCTAATAGCAGAAATGCTGTGCTTGTAGTGAGCAGCTCCCAAGTGAGAATGTGTGTAACTGTGCGAGTGCAAAGTTGGATAAAGCTGAGGAAAGAGCATGCACACTCAATAAGCCTTGATAATGATAAATGACCAAGTAAGCTCATTCAATTTCCTCTGTATAAAAAGAAAGTTTAGAGGAGTAGCTGGACAAACACGCTTAGTCACTTTTACTCTGAGAGTTCAGTGAGACAATCAATTCCACTCAAGCATGGAGCTTAGCTTAGCATAAACACTGGAAGCCGGGGAAGCAGCTAACCTGGCTTTAAATATGTGGCTACCAGCACCTTAAATGATGTCAAATATGCTGAATGTGCTGTTGCTCTCCTCCACACACACAGCCACAGCCACACAAGAGCACACTGACAAATATACTGTAAAACTTCAACTGAAAGCCCAGTCCCTTTTACTAGCCCTGTGTTGCTTGCCTGGTCTGGTTGCCAAGCGTTTCATTTTCTTTACAGAATCAAAATCAGAATCGTGTGCCAGGTGCTGTAATCCTCGAGTGCTGTAATTTTTTCTCTGATGCGCTGTCCATTGGAGCTAGATCAAATGAAGGATTCATAATTGTTATATGATCTGAAGCCTAATTTTTATATAAATAATATTCATACTGGTTTAAATAAACAGTTTGATTGTATTTCCCATTTTTCCTGAACAACAGTTTTGTGTGAAAGGATTTAAAGGCCTGTCCCAAATACAGGCTCATTGATTTCAGTGATTTAAGCAAATAATAGCCTGGACTATTAATTGAAGTGTTATGGCAGGTGACTTTCCTCAGGGGAGAGGAGATGAGGTCTGCCCAAAAAGCTGCTAGATTTGTTGCTTGGCACATTTTTGGAAAAAAAGAAAAAAAAAAAAATACTAAATTAGCAAAACTGTGCTGGTTGCCAGGGAGAAGTTAGCCTACAGCACATACCTCACTGCATTTGGTCAGTTTACTTTAAAAATGTAGTGAGTTACTAAATGCAATTTACATAGCCATTTTTGTAATTTTAATGTAATCAATTAGATTACAAAATATATATTTAATCTTAATACTTATGGATACCTTTTGTGTTACTTCAAAATCAACATTAAAACTATTGCACCTTGTACTGAAATAATGGACACAGCCACAAAAATTTGAGATCCACAAATACAAACCCAAAGACTGCTGCTGCTTAAACCTTTCACATTACTTCAACACTATTCTTTTTACTCCTGCCAGGGCCGCCACAAAGTGAAGCACTTGTCTTAAAAAAAATACTGCATGACATACATGCCTTAATTTGGTTAATTTAGCATTTCATATTGGCATGACATATTTTAAAGAGGTAATAAAAATGTAGTCAAGTAATCCTTGACAATGTAACTAAAATCTAAAGTAATCCCAATTACATATGATCCTTTACTATCCAAACCTGCTTGTAAAAACACAATTTACCTATGTAACTTTAATGTAATGTCTAGGTTAAAAAAAAATAAACAATTGAGATATAAAAAGTGTATGGGTTCATTTTTAAAAATGTTAAATGCAATGATATTTTATACTGATGATACTTGCATATTTTTTTTAACTTTGGAGACCTAAAATAATCTAATCACAGTCCAGCTACAAAAGATGGCAACTGTAGATATGCGAGACTCTTACGAGCCGCTTCAAAATATTCTTGTCTCGCTTTTTTATTTTGTGACAATGCTGTTGTTATTATGTGATTAGGCACAAGAACACTTGGTTAGGGTTAGGGAAAGATAATCTTTTACGCTAAAATGATCACTTTAAACATGGAAAATTAAATCTTGAGGGAGTTTTCACAAATCTGGGTTACCATCTAGACAGGACCATAATCACCATCTGACCTGAGCTATGTAGGCTACTTAACATACAGGCATGAGAGTGGTATCAATCATCTCATCTAACTAAGAAGTTTCTACCTTCTGGCTCTTGGCGCTTACTTAGTCTCGCTCACCAGACCTGGCTGCGCCAAGTCTCACTTTAAGGTTGGAGAAAAAACGCCCCAGCTTTTTTATTCCTTTCAACCAATCACAGTTGTTCTGGGCGGTGCCACAGCAAGGTGTGCTTGCAAAAATATTGCCGGGGGGAAACAGGTTTTGGTGTAACACGCCCACAAAAATATCGCCTACAGGACGCGAACCATGGCAGAAAACATCAAGATCAAACACCGCAAAAGTTAGTAAAGGACATGTTGAAAACTGTATTTAAGAGTCTGAGCCGGGATTGCCTGCACATGGCTCTCAACATGGAGGTGGCTGTACTGGCAGCTAGCAGGTGCTAACAGCGTGAACAGTGCTAACAGCAACACTGGTGACAGAGCTGCGAAGCTGGGGAGGGGACCAAAGGGTTGGGTGTTATGCTTCCACAACGACGGCGTAATGGGTGTTACCCACCGTATGATGGCAGTGCAGAGTGGCGGCAATTAGCTAGCCAGTGGGATACGCACACATGAACTCACATACATGAACATGCATGCATGACCCGGCCAGCAATGCAACAACAAACAGAGAAGCTCAGATTACAACACACAAAGAGGGACTGTGACTTCATTCTCTGCTCAGGACACCATTACTCCACTATATCTTCACCATAGTAAATAATGATTGCTGCTATATTAATGCTCTGAATGTTGTATACAGCACCTTTAACTATAAACAATATCATCAGCAGGACGGCATTGAATTAGGAAATGGAATCGTCTGTGTTTCAAAGCAACTAATTCTATTCAGCTCTCTCTAATTCAGCAGTCAGAATAATTTCAATCCACCAACGTGACTGCAGATCTGCAGCAGCCAATCAAAACAGAATCTGCTCTTTTGTCTGGTTGTTTTTGAAGGGCTCTCCACCCAAGCCTCATCATGCAACTAATTCAGATCTAACCCCACTTTAAACCGCACAGACAATGGCTATTGAGATGAGCTGGGTGCTGATAGGGCTGTCGAGAGTCAGACTCTAGATGGAGTGAACACATACAGACACACAAACACACGTGGAGCCACACACAGTCACATAAAGTGCCATAAATAGAAACAGTGAAAAGCAATATTTAAGTCCGCTTTTTGTGCCTATTGCGTCGCACCACACACACAAACACACACACACACACACACACACACACAGAACTCCTACTTGCATTAGCCTTCCATCCTAAAATGTAAATAGACCTTTAAGTGGATCAGTTAGGTCATTTAAGGCTGAAGTGCCTCGAGACTTGAGCAACTTGAGAGTATCCTAAAGTTTCCAAAGTATCCTGCTAATGCAAACGGAAAAAGACTGCAGACGAAGATGGCAACATTCGATTTGGTAAATGAAAAAAATGTGTGTCATTCAGCGGCAGATAATTGCCCCTGCTTCTCAGCGGCCACATTAAAAAATCACAACGCTTTAATAGTTAATAAATGATTTGCATTGTATTAACATAGTATTAATTGGGAGAGAGAAATGAATTATTCAGTGGTTTAATCACCCGCTCTGTGGCTCTTCTCGAAGCACACAAAGATGTGAGGTAGCTGCTTGATGTTAATCCTAAAATCACTGGCAAAACATTTGGTAAAAGACGTCAGTGTGAAATTCAATTCTGAGTTAATTGTGTCATTCACCTGTCTGCTCTCCTGCAGTTGACTCTGTCTCCACCTCTCCCTCCTTCTCTGCCTCCTCCTCAGACACTTAATCCTGTTCTTCTCCCTTTTGCTCATCCTCCTCTCCCCAAAAGGAACACAAGGTGGCACCACTGCCGAGGTCATGCTTTGACCCATCACCTCCATCACACCACTGCCTCCTTCCCCGCCATCTTCCACGCCGTCCCCCTCTTCTTCTTCCTCTTCCTCCTCTTCTTCTTCTCCCAGCTCTGAGCTGGTGAGAGGTGGGATGTGACGCTGACGGCTTTGAGACAATCGTCCAGTTGCTGCCCCCGTCTTCACCTCCGCCCAGAATGGATCTAGCTCTCTGGATGAACTAAATGGGTAGCGGTGCGGGTCTCCTGTAGCTGTCCTGGATGAAAGTCTTTCAGGGGACAGAGGTGTGGACCTGGTTTGGATGGGAGGCTGAGGGAGAGCAGAAGACGTGGACCTCGATGCTGGCCAAGGAGACTGGGGGTTTAAATTGGCGGTGCTGGTCCGGGTGCAGCCAGTACTGGGAGGTCTGGGACATGTGTTTCCTCTCTGCGAGTTGTTTGACCCTTCTCCAACTTCCAAGTTGCTATTTAATGGGATGTCAGAATTACTGCTGGACAAACTCTCAGTACTTCCTCTTCCCTGGCCTCCATCTCCAAATGTCTCTGTTCTTTCTGTCTTCCTCTGCCTTTGTTTACCTCTTTCCTTGCTTCCTACGTGTTCAACATTTTGTCTCTCCTCCTCCCTGTCTCCCTCTCTCCATCTTCCTCTGTTGTCCCTGCTGCAGGTCTTCCTGTGTGCTTTCCTCCCTGGCAGGGCAGGTCTCACCAGCTGCTCCACACTGCTCGACCTCCCCTCTCCCGCTGGATCAGCGCTCGTCAGCCTAGGTCTCACTGCCTTTAAGCACGGGATATAAGTCTCATTGTTGCTGTTTCCTTCACCGGCATCCTCACTTCCACGTCCCCCAACTTGGCTTGAGCCATTTACACCAGAGGCTCCCGCACGGAAGCTCATGATGGCGCCTTTGAGCCCCTCAGTCACCGGCAGAGCACATCTGATGCGACTTCAACCAGCTAGCCTGGTCTTTCCGCTGTCATCTTTCCCTAAGTCTTCTCTCTGCCTCCCACTCCTTCTGGATGTACAGGTTCAAACTCTTTTTCTAAGAGCCAGAGGGACTGTTCCAGTGTAGAGGAGGTGAGCAGTGCAGCCCTCTGGTCCTGGCCTATCCTGTCCCTGTTAGCCCCCCTGGGACATTCCACACTGTTGACAAAGACAAAGTCCCCCTGGTGAGCCCCATCACAATAGGTGCACTGTTCACGGCCTCACTATTGTCCTGTGTGACCTATAGAAAACACACTGCTATGCAACCACTGAATACACAAAAAATAAGGTGAAAAAACCAGAGCCACCTTTTTTTCTCACGTCCATGACCATGGTGTCAGCTTTTTTCACCCTGGGGTTTACAGAAAGAACAGTTTGTGTGTGTGTATCTGTGTCTGTGTGAGTCTGTAGTTGTCAAGATAAATGTTAATCCTCAGACTGTTCCATATTTGATGTCTAATTTTTTGTTTCTGTTGGTGCATCGTTTCCAAAGACTTCCTGTTTGCTTGTACCTAAGAAACTTCTAGCCCCAAAGAAAATCTAAATGTATTTGATGAAAAATGTCAGGATAACTCATTCAATGACAGTCTGATCTGACAACCTGCTTCATTGTTTCCAAATAGAGAGACTGAGAAGAAACAGGCAAGTCTTTGTCCGAAGGTTAAACACAACACAAAACATTAGCACCGAAGATTATTATGGGTGAGGTTAACTTAAGGTTCACTGAACTATAAAACACATCATGCGACTACTGAGAACATTTTTCTGACTTTATATGACATAGATGTCCATGACTAAGTTAAAAACTCTGATTTCTGATATTCTACGATGAACTGAAAGTGATCTAAATGAAATACTATTTTTCTTTATTCTAAAGTTGAATAACAAAACAATAAATAACTATTTAAGACCTACCATCACCCATTATTTTAAGAAGCCAAGCAACTCTTACGGTTATATCTAATTGAGGAGAAAAACAGGAGTGGGTACTTTCTAGAAAATTATCTTTAATTATCAATCATGAATTACATGATAGTCCATTCTAAGGCATCCATTTTCATCTGCTTAACTGGGGCCAGGTCACGGGGGCAGCAGGCCAAGCAAAGCACCCCAGACGTCCCTCTCCCCAGCAACGCTTTCCAGCTCCTCCTGGGGGACCCCAAGGCGTTCCCAGGCCAAATGAGATATGTCATCCCTCCAGTGTGTTCTGGGTCTGCCCCGGGGCCTCCTACCAGTGGCACGTGCGAAGCAAAGGAGCAGCTGCTCTACTCCGAGCTCCCTCCTGATGTCTGAGCTTCTCACCCTATCTCTAAGGCTGAGCCCAGCCACCCTTGTGAGGAAACTCTTTTCAGCCGCTTATAACCACAATCTCAGTTTTTTTGGTCAGAACCCAGAGCTCATGAGCATAGGTGAGGGTTGGGATGTAGATGGATCAGTAAATGGAAAGCTCCTCAGATCTTCTGAAAATTCCCTAACTGGTTTGTCCTAATTTCAGGCTGAGGCCTTAAGATCATGCCTTTGGCTACCAACCTATGAAGCTTTGGACTATCCCAGGAGATGTGACTGTAAAATCACTCTTAAAAAACATTTGTGGGGGTACTGAGTAATCTTTTTTTTCATGTATTTTTGGCACTGTTTGTAAATTGTCCTAATTTTTTTAATGCTTTTTAACCTGTTGTCTTTACTTTTTTCCTACAATATAATCGCATATCACTTTTTTTTTTAATCCCCTGCCCTTAGTCAATTCATTTAGTACCCTTGTTATGAAAATGTATTATATGAAAAAATATATATGCACATTGTTACACAAAGTAGAGGGACAGGAAACATGGGGATGAAAGGGAGGGAGTGACATCCCAAAATCGAACCACAGATGGTGAAGTTACACGGTACGCCATCTAAATGACTATTAATTATTAATTTCATTATTCACTTATCATAATAATCAGTATCATTATTAATATGACTTGTTCTTTGGAGGAGCGGGGTCAGGGACATCTTGATTGATTCCTATCTGTACTTAAAATGCATGTGCATGACTTGCATTGGGCTCTCTGTCCACTACAGACAGCCATAACAAGATACCCAGGGATCCCATACCCCTCAGGTTCCCAAAAGCAACACATGTTGTGTTTTTTGTTTTGGTTATTTACCTAAATGCCCATTTGTTATGAAATGTGTACCCCTAAAGTGAAATCTCAACCAAGGCAGACACAGAGAGTTCTAAGAACTCACAGAGTTCAGTTCTGGAATAGGGACATCTTTGTGACATCAAAGTGCAAATTCTAGTCTCCACAGTAAATAGGCCACAGAGATATCATCTCCACATGCCTACAAACATTTCTACAAGAGACCACTCGCACTAAGAAAACCAGTTTGGAAAGCCCAGAATACCAAAGACAACACCAGTCACCTCAGCTCACCTGAAACTGTTTGAACACAGACAGGTAAGTAAATGCACTTTATAGAAACCTAAGGAGTATACTGTGTCAGAGCTTAGAGATTAATTTGTGCAGTTTAAAAACAGTATGATATAATAATTAATATGAATATGGTGATGAAAATGTTTTTTAGTGAAGGAAATAATGTAAAACTGAAGCAGTGAGTGAGTTTCAGTGTGAGGTAGAGGACAGGTGCTGTCTGTTTATCTGTTGGGCTTTACACAGACACAAGATGAAAACTTTACAGCTATGATATCATATCAAATAATGTACCAGATAAATTATGTTAATGTAAGGCATATTTATTGTAAAATAACAAAAATAAAGCTTCATGTTTTATCAAACAGTGTTTTTTTTTGCAGTAGTTTTTACAAATATACCCAGCTTCAAACTCTGTGAACTCAGTGAATGTATCCTGCAGTTCTGCTCTAAAAGCAGACCACAGATTCATCCCCCTTAAGCTGGAGGACTACATAGAGGCACCAGAACCCACTGAGGCTGTCACGACACCAGAGCACAGGTTCATCCCACTTAGGCTGGAGGACTACATCGAGGAAGAGGATCAGGCACTAGAGGACACCAGAGATGTTTCATCTCTGTCCTCTACAGGTCTGATCCCACCTGATCATCATGTTGCTGAGGTCACAAAAATGATCAGCACTTACCAGGGCTCTGTGGACCAGTCTCAGCTTGACACTGAGGCAAAGAGGAGCAATCGTTTCTCTCGCTTCTTCAACATATTCTCAAAGGTGAGACAGTGTTTATACGTAAAAATCTAATCAGTGTTATCTTTTTATTGAACTGTACTCATTTATTTGTATTTCTGTACTCACGTGCTGGAGACAGAGGCAGAGGCTGTCCAGACACCAGAGCCCACTGAGGCTGTCAGGACACCAGAGGCCACGGTTGTTGAGGTCCTTACTGAGGACAATGATGTCACACCAGAGGAGATCAGGGACATCATTCCATCTCCACCCTCTGCCAGCTCACCCCCATCAGCTCTGCAAGTGGTTGAGATCCATCAGCCACAGAGCCAACTGCTGGCCAAACCTATGACTGATTTTGATGAGGAGGTGAGAGGTTCCCTGACCCTGAGCACATCGGGAAGACAATCCAAAGGCAAGAGGAAAAAGCTGCAGTGGAGGAGATGTTTCAGTGGATGGCGGAGGCAGAAGATCCACCCAGCTCCACCAGAACATTTTGAGGAGGCC